TCCACAATATGTCTATGTTTTCGCTCAGCTACACCATTTTGTTGAGGTGTATGAGGGCAACTAGATTGATGTAGAATGCCATGGGAAGCGATAAATGATATGAAGCAATCTGAAAAATATTCTTTAGCATTATCACTTCGTAAAATCCGAATTACTTTGCCAAATTGAGTTTTGATCTCCGAATAGAATCTTAGGAAAATATTGAATAACTCAGAACGATTTTTCATTAAAAATATCCAAGTACATCTAGAAAAATCATCAATAAAGGTGACGTAATACCTATGTCCTAAAAGGGAAGGAACGCGACTAGGACTCCAAACATCAGAATGAATAACATCAAAAGGAGACATAGCTCGACTATTAATACTATTAGGAAAAGAAGCTCTAACATGCTTCCCTAATTGACACGACTCACACTCTAAGGACTCCAACCGTGAGAGATGAGGTACCATTTTCTTTAATTTATTCAAGCTTGGATGACCCAGGCGACGATGAATTAAACCAGGAGACTCAATAGATGCACATATGGTAGAGGTAGAAGGCTGAAGGTAGTAGAGACCATGTGATTCAGATCCGGCTCCAATCGTCTGTCCCGTACTCCGGTCCTGTATCAAGAAAGAATCAGAAGTGAAGGTTATGACACAGTTTAGTGACCGAGTCAACTTACTTATAGAAATCAAATTAAAGGGACATCCAGGAACTAGTAAAACAGATTTTAATGGTAGTGATGGGAGAGGTGATATTTGACCAATACCAGTGGCTTGGACTTTTGACCCATCTGCAAGAGTGATATGGTGTGGAGTTCTAGGTGATGATAGGTTAGGGAAAAGGGAGACATTACCAGTTAGGTGATCAGAAGCACCGGAGTCCAAAACCCAAGGTCCAATAGACGTAGAATGAGAGAGACAGACTGTAGAATTACCAGTATGAGCAACAGTGATGGAAGAAGAGACCTGTTTAGTTGCTTTGAATTGAAGATACTCTTGGTAATCATCGGTAGATAATGTGATTGGATGATTGCCCTTCGGTTCAATCTTGAGCTCTGGAGTTGAAGTTGGAGATTGAGCCACATTAGCTGTCTTGCTCGGAAAGCCATGCAAGGAATAACACCTGTCTCGTGTATGTCCATCTCTCTGACAGTAGGTACAATGGAGGTTTCCTGTACCCCCTTTACCGCGACCACGACCTCGACCACGCCCTCGACTTCCACGGTCAGCTGTACTAGAGATAAAAGCAGAGGACTCAGATTCTGTGTGAGGATCTGCCTCTGGTGAAGGGACCCGAATCAATCGATCTATGAGTTCTTCTACTGTAGGAATGACAGGATTTGTCAAGATTTGATCTCGAACAGATCCGTAATCTTTGTGGAGTCCTTGAAGGATAAACACCATAAACATATTATCAAGTTTGTTTAATATTTGTTGAGGATCATCACTAACCAACATTAGCTTGAGCTCATCAATAGTGGATTGAGCACGATTCAAATACGTTGGCAAATCATTATCAACCATACGAAGAGTTGCCAGACCATGAACAGACTCGTATATTCTTTGGATATCATTGGCATAGACATTTCGAGCCTTCTTCCAAATATCATAGCATGTCTTGTACGGACGAAAATGCACCATTAATTTAGGCTCAATGGACTGCCACAATAGAGATACAAGTTGATAATCTGTCCGTTGCCATTCATCTCTCACCTCTTTATCAACTTCAGACGCCCTTTTAGTAAGATGATCATAAAGACCCTGACCTAAAAACCACATTTCAACCGCAGTGGACCAATCCAAATAATTTTTACCATTAAGCTTTTCAGATGTAATAGTAGGTGATCCAGAAAAGGCAAAGGAGACCAGCCCCCTTTTGGAAGATTCAATTTTTGGGTTCTCCTTGGGAATCTCTGCCATGAGGAGAAAAAGAAGAAAAACACCAAACAATCAACCACGAACAGAAACCAAACAGCCACAGAACTCCGAGACAGCAACCAATCAACACCAAACGACCACGAAACTCCGAGGCCGCAACCAAACGACCTCCAACAGACCACCTAGAGTGTGACCCACATCCTGAAAAGGGTCAAAACGAGAAGAGGGAGGGCCGACGAGTCCAACGGAGTAAACCGCGTTGCAAACGGAGGCTGGTAGGGTGGCGCGTGAAGCCCGCGCGCCAACGAGCTTCCTCAACGAGAACCGCGCGTGGGAGCGCGTGAGGCGGCGGATGACGGCGGCTCGCGACGGAGAGGCCGATTGACGACCTCTGAGTGTGCAGGCGGTGTCAATTCCGGCAACCGCAGACAAAATTCGAAAACCCTAGAAACCCTAAATGTTGGCGGCTGGATTAGGGTTCCTGGACCAGAGTGCTCTGGTACCAACTTGAATATGAATAATTTCTTATTATTAAATCTGAATAGGTACAATAAAATAAATAGGCATAAAACATAATCAATCCCTAAAGTTTAGGGATTTAGATAAAACTGACTAAAGAGAAGATAAACTAGTATATCTAAACTATATCTTATAGAATTATCTTAACAATAACAACTACTTATTTTGAAAACAATGCTGTGCATTACTTCAATGATGATTTAGATTCAGTGATTTTTGATTTTAAATGTCCATTTGGTTTACTGACTGCATCATTTTACATTTAAATACTTAAATACTGCTGTTTACTTTGTGCCTTTTGTTTATTGTAGATAAGGCGTCTGAAGGAACATGTGTTGCTACAGTTACCTCCAAAACGTCGGCAAATTATAAGATTGTTGTTAAAGAGATCGGATATAGTTGCTGCAAAAACTGCAGTTGGGGTATTGAATATTGATGCCTCTGAAAGGGCAAGTGAAGACATGTCTTTGGAAAATTTGGATGAACCTGATGGTATTGTTAAGGAATCTTTGCCTCTAAATGTTGGATTTCTGTGTCAACTTATGTGTCACATAACAGCTTTGAGTTAATTGTTTTAATAATTAGGATAAATTGCATAAAAATATCCAGAGAAGGCAGTCTCAAAAGCTTTTGAAAATTTTAATTTCAAAAAAGACAAATTCTAGTCCTAGGCATAGATGGTTTATAATTAACTTATGATACTAAAAAGACAAATAATAATGAGGATATCCAATAGAAGCCAAAAAAGTAATAAAACAAGTCCAATTGCAGTCTTCTTGATCTTATACATCACTAACCTACTTTTGAATTGTGAAGAAATAGGAAACTAAAATAAAATTCCATATGCTTGTCAATGTTTGCTTGTACTTTCATAAAAAGTGTTGCTGTAAGTTGGTTTCTTGTGTTGTTCAAAGAAAAATGGCCATGCTACTTTCCATTCTATCGAGATAACATTTCTTTTTCTGTATGTGCATATATAGAAAAGCAGATGTGCTCTGGTTGGTTGTAATGCAGGAAGATTATTATAGAAGTTTCTTCATTCATCTCTTCTACCTTTTGTCAGGAAAGCTTTCTTATCAGGAACTTGGAATTGCAAAGCTTTCTGGTTTTCGTGAATGGCTTGCCCTCCATCCAATCATTGAAGGATCAGAGAATGCTTCAAAAATGATAATTTTTGCTCATCACCACAAAGTTCTTGATGGAGTACAGGTTGGAAGCTGTTGCTTGCTGAAAATCCCTTTGGCTGCATGTAAAATAGTGGAGTGATGTCAGTGACTCAATGTTCTCCTTTTGATTTTTCTAGTTTGCTTTGGGCTGGCTACCATGATATATCAAATTTAGGTAGTGTTTGGTCCAACTTTTTTTGGGTTTTTCGTCTTCTCAAAAAGAGAAGATGGGTCAAACACATTTTCTTAAAAGTTCTTAAATTAAGCAGCTTATTTTTTTTAAAAAGGAAAAAAGTATCTTTTTGAAAGAATTGGGTGGAGGAACTTTTTAAAAAAGTCTAATTTCTCATCTCTCTCTTTCCCCTTGTCTCTCCTCTCTCGCCGGTCTCTTTCAGGTCATCTGTTTTAAGTTAAAAGAAATGAAAGCTATCAAAAAGCTTCTAGTTTACTTCTAAAACTATAATTTTAAACTAGTAACTATAAAGCAAACAAAAAGTTGGACCAAATATAACCATAGTAAATCACGCTCTTAGTCTACCTTCATGAAGGAAATCAGAAGTACTGTTACTTTTATAATCACTTTGACTGTCCGTGACCCTCTTTTAGTGACTGAAACATGTTTTCCTTCTGATGTCTTCTTCAATATCCATTTGTTCGATTGGCTATCATCATACTTTTTGTTGATGATGACCCTCTGATTATTTGATAACTATGATGTCCCACGCACATTTATATCTAGTTTCTGATATAAAGTTTCTCTTTCTGACCCATTCAGGAGTTTATATGTGAGAAAGGGACAAGTTTTGTGCGAATTGATGGAAATACTCTTGCCAGAGACAGGCAATCAGCAGTAGTTTCATTTCGGTCATCACCAGAGGTATCATAACCTTTGCATATTTCTCCTCAATATATCGTGAGAATTTTCTGTTCTCTCTCTCTCTCTTATTTATTTATTTATTTTTTTCTCTCGTTATTTACGGCCTTTCTATTTCTATAAGTTTATTGTATTGGGAATAATAATGTGTTTCTTTTCAATGCTTTATTTCTCCTATCACACAAATAAAATCTTCAAAATACATTTCCGTTGATCAGGCTCCATTGATTATCATTGTTCTATTTGCCAAATTGATGTGATTTTTTTTTTTTATTTAGTTGTGGATACACACGGACTTCACATATTTATTAAACAACTTAACATGTCACATTCAATTCCAAAAATAAGAACCACTTACTAAAAGAACAATATGCTATGAACGGTAAAAATAAGAACTAAATGATTCCTAAAATAACCATCTTGAGCATTTGTGTTACCATCAAACTATATACCATTGAGTGCCCTACTTTTGTATGCACTTTACATGCAAAATGTGTTCTGTGTCATCTGTATCATTTAATCAAGGTTGAACTATGCCTTTTCATTTTGGTTTACTTAGACTAATGAGTTTCATTTTTATGTCAGGTTAAAATTGCGATAATAGGCATTCTAGCAGCTGGATTTGGACTTGATTTCTCAACTGCGCAAGATGTTGTGTTCTTGGAGCTACCACAGTGCCCAACTCTCATGCTCCAGGTTCTGTTTTATTGTATATTACTTCATTAATAAATTTTTATTTATAACTATTGTTGGTTTGTAGAATTGGTATCATATGCCAGTGACTTGTGTTTTTCTCTTCGTGTGCCAATTGATTATGAAAAACATTCATTTGATTTCAAACAATATGTGCAAATGAAGTATCAATACAATTGTGAAAGGTACTGCAGAAAATGAGAAAATTGCATATCCCTAAGTGCATAGAACTAATTAGTGTAGCAAAAGGAATAAAGTAGTTTTATTTCTGTGTGATTAACAATAATAATGAAGCTGTCTGTATTTTGTCAATACCATACATGGAATGTCTATCAATTTGGCACTGTATATATTTGAATGGCAACAGGACTGTGGGGAGTACGGACTCATCTAAAGATGACCGTCTTTAAAGGAACAAAAAAAATGGACACTTAGGTGCATCTGTATTCTGTATAAGATAGTTGATAATATTTTATTGCAAAATTGGAACAGGGCTGAATTCATTTAAAATAACATGAGGCACACTAAGCCAATAGATGTCATGGAACTTATATTCATCTTCTAACAATAATTATGCCATGTATTACACTTGCTGCAGTCTTTTTAACCACCAAATTGATGCAGGGTTGATAATTAACACCTATCAGATGACACATGTAACACATATTTTAATTATGGAATCACATACATTTTGTTCAATCTATTCTTGTTGTATATGATGCCTCCATCATATGATGAACTGTAACATGTGGGATTTTCCTGATATTGTATCTTATGTAAATAATATTTTTATGTTTTGAAGGCCGAGGATAGAGCTCATCGTCGGGGACAAACAAATGCAGTTAATGTATACATATTCTGTGCGAAGGTGATTTAGGTTCTCATACATTCTGAAAGTTTGGGATTAGGGTTTGTTGTGAGTCTTCTGTTATGCCTAATGCTTCTCACAAGTTGCATTTGTTGGTATAATCCATCTGCAGGATACCTTGGATGAATCACACTGGAAAAACTTGAACAAAAGTTTGCAACGTGTTTCATGTACAACTGATGGAAAATATGATGCGAAGAAAGAGATAGAGGTATCATGTTTCTGTTTTTCAATGCTTTTATTAGCTAGTCACTGTTAGTTGTTATAGTGAAGTTTAATTTCATATTGAAAAGCACAAATATTTGAAAATTTTCTTTATACTAGTTGGCTATTTTAAGTTGTACATTAGTATGTTATGATTTATGAGTCTACCCATTTACTTCAATTTCAAATAACTTCAAATTTAAAACATTTGATTTGATTACATATTTGTAACACAAATTTTTAAGCATTTACTTTGTTCCTGGTTGTAACGCTTCTCATACTCATACAATGTGTACTTTTTATGCTCAATGAAATGCAAATGAATACTCTGTACAACTTGGGCAATAAATAAATGGATTGGAGGCTTATGGGATGCTGATGAATTCCTTTTCCAACTTGTGAGATGAACAAAACATATTGATGCTCTTTTCAAGTAATAACATTGTCATAAGTTTACTAAGTTCAATTTTACTTTTCATCCATATAGATGAAGTTCTTTGACCTGATTTCAATACTGTGCAAGTTTTTTCCTGTGAAATGTCCAGAGTTTTAGCTTCTGATAACCTATATATATATATATGATAAGAGACACTTCCGTTGCCACTATTATGAAACAAATGATTGATATTTTGTGATGTGTTAGAATTTTTTTCCTCCCTTGTATAACATCAGCGTCCTTTTGGGGACATTTGGTGGCAGGTTGAAGGTATTTCTTATTTAGACTCATCTTTGAAAATTGATAATTGTGAAGAGCAATCCTCTTGCAAAGATGCATTAGGTGAAACACAATTGGCTACGCAACCTTCTGAAGTAAATCCAAATGAATCAGAAGCAAATCAAAATGATAAAACTGATGAGGGGACTTGTGTTAATAACTCAACTCAGAGTTCTAATATTATGGTAATTCTTGAAGTTTAAACTTTAAATTGCTTTGCCTCACTTTAGCATGTTATTTGGTTGCCTTTGTTTATTTGCGTATTACTTACTCTTTTATTTATTTTTAATTATTATAATTTTTTTGGTAGAATAGGTTGATAATGTCTCCTGCCAAGATTTAGGCAAGGCTTCAGGTCTGGATGGAACTTGTGGTGTTGATGTTTTTGATGCTGTGGAGGGCTTTCAGAAGTGTTTTGAGGACAAAGAACAAGTAATAGGGGTGCATTTTTCTGTTTTTTGCAGCTTTCTAATGTAAAGAAGGACTATACTTTATTCGTGTCTGTGCCTGAGTGCTTAATGGTCTTATTTTTCAGTTGAAGGATATGAAATCAGTTTCAACAACAGAAGCAGATGACGACCAGTCTGTTCATCCAGTTGAAACCGATGGACATTGTTCTAATCAAGTTGATTTTCTGCGATTTGAGGTGAAATTTGTTTTTAAAAGTTGTTGATTGATGTTAGAATGAGTCAGTCCATTGTACAAGAAAATTGACTTCAATTTAGTCTTTGATTCATTAGTTAGCACTCTACATAAGTGAAGCAAAGTTCATGAAACAAATTTATGCTTATTTGTTTTCTGAAATTGTTGTCAAGTGTCAACCATTTAATGTGACTTTTGACCTTTATGATGTTTTTAAGCCTGTTTTAGAAGGAATAGGTGAGCTTCAACTTCCTGGTTGTAGTGTGGGGTTTATGCTTTTCATGGTATATTTTGGGTTAGTGCAGAATGTATACATCTTCAACTGTAAGTGCAGTTAACCTTGGTGCTATGCACAGAGGTTGGATCGTTCAATTGATCATTCTTATGAATATAGGAATAACATTTACTTGCTCTTCAGGTGAGCCCATACACCGGAAGGATCCACTTGTATACTTGCATTTTGGGTACTGATGAAAGACCACAACCACTTCATGAAAATTTTCGACCAGAGGAACTTGAGTTATTAAGTTCTGTTGCTGATGATGAGAAACAGGCACATGATGAGAATCAGAAAATAGAGTCTGTATCTGTCAAGGAAAATCCTGCTTATAGGTCGACTCTTCTGGCTTTTGCGGAGGAGTGGAAGAATTTGAGGTCAATTGAACGCAGGAAGTTACTTGGAAAACCATTACAACTTCCTTTGGCTGTTGAATTATGCTACTTGAGTGAAAGCAATAACCACAACAACAAGGTGAGCACTGTGAAATTAAACTCTGTTTCAATGGATGTGATTATTTTTCTCAAAGATAATCCAACCTTGCTACTGTTTTTTGCTTCTCTAGTTCTTTGGATGCATATATAATGTAACAGAAGTCTATGATTGACAGGGTTTATTAAATGGTGGAAGTAGAAGACGCAAGACACCCTTAATGGAGATTAGCTGTCCTTTACCATCAGATGCTGTTTGGAGAAAGGTTTATCTTCGAAATGGCATCAGTAAAAAGGAAAAAGAATACACTCAAGGCTGGAGTCTGACCGATGAGCCACTCTGTAAGCTTTGTCAAAAGCAGTGCTTGTAAGTCCTATACCAATTATATATTGCTTTTATCTTTTATATCAGTGTTTACTTATTAGTAACTTTACTTTCAGGGAAAACAATGCTAGGACACCTGAATATTTTGAAGATCTTTTTTGTAGCCTTGTCTGCTACGAGGAGTATCGAATGAGAACTAGCAACAGATATCTTCGTGAGGTCAGAACATTGATCATATTCATTCAAATTAAGATGTGGTTGACTAATTTTTCTTTGTTGTTTAGATGTTCTACCTTAGGAACAGAATTGTGTAGCTTTGTCATGTCTCTGAGCTAGCAACTAATGTACTTGAGTTGAGATCTTCAGGAACTTTTCAAAATTGAACATGGTGTATGCACAAATTGCCAATTGGACTGTCATAAGCTTGTTGAGTATATAAGACCTTTGTCATTGGAAAGGCGGCGAGAGTACATAGAGAAAGTAGCACCCAATGTTGCTAAACGAAAGAGCATGTAAGTCAATGAAAGTGAAATATTTTAGGTCAATTCTCTGATGTTATGAAATAATATTTTAGGGTTGTTAAAATGCTTGGTATACAGAAGAGTGTCAATAAACTTGCTTTACCTTGCACGAACAGTCTTCTGAAACACCAGTTGACAATCTGCAGGCTTGAGAAGCTTCTCAATGAACCAACAGAGGGCAACGCGTGGCATGCTGACCATATTGTTCCAGTATATCAAGGAGGAGGTAGAATTTATTTCAAAGTTTAATCCTACTTTCTTTAGGAAGAGTGATGATATCAATTTCTAGTTATAGTGACCTGTTTTTCCAAGAAATGACTATTAGATTGTGTTTCAGACTTAAACATCTTTTTGCAAATATAATTTTGGAAGCGATCAAAGTGTTAAATACTTTGGTACACTTTTGATGGTTTTAGTTGGCTCAATGGAAATGTCAAATATAGAATATTGATGCATGTGAAACATCCATGTTATGTGCTGATACCTATGAATAGATATTATTTGTATTGAATTATCTAAATATCAAGAGAACAGCATGTAACCATATAATTCAAATAGTGTAGTAGTTTTCAACAATGGCCACCTCAGCCACAATAAACCCATTTATACTCGTGAAATAACATTCTTTAGGGGTTATTTGGGGTAAAATTGTGATTTCACCCCTATTTTTTTCATGCATTTTTTCTTCAGAAACATAATATGATTTGAAACCCTTCTTCCATGACCATTCACACAAAAAGTTACCTTTGTTTTGACCTCTGCTCCTTCACACTTTACATGACTTCTTTTACTTGTGTTTTTTCTTTAGAGTTTAGATTTCCTGGTTCACATTCTGCTAATTTTTATCTAATAGTCTTTTTCTATTGATTCCATCATCTTTCATTTTTTGACTTCATTACTATGTTTCTACTGCTCCTAGATTGATGGTGACTGTGTGTGAAAACTGTTCTGTGACTTATTATTTATTATGAATCTCTTTTTTGTTTTTTGTTTTTTTAGTATTGATGTGTAGTCTAAATTATTAGTTTGTATTATAATATTTAAATTATTAAAATAGTGGCCATCCCACTAGCGTTTTCAGAAGTGTCAGCTATGCTGCCATTTGGGATTGATAACTATGTATTTAACTACAATTTCATGATGAAATTCATAGAACTTGCATTGTGGATAACTCGTTAGGTCCAGGCATTTGTAAGGACCATGTCGGTGGATAGTTTATGCTAGAAGAGAAACTGTGAGGTGGGCTAGAATAATGAGAAATCGTGTGAGGAAATGGAGAAAGTAAATTCACTTGGGAACATGAGCAAGAATAATAAGATACCATTGAAGCAAGTATACTGATTACCCTTTCCAGTTTCCACTACTAACTATCTGGGTTCTAAATGGCTTGAAGTGTACGGGTGTCGGGTGTGCATCCAGTATTAAAAGATGCTTAATAATAAGATTGGGTCTGGAAGTTGATCAAGAGTTTCCTTTTCTGGAGAATATTACTGTGAGTCTTTGTTCCTACAGCTCTAACTAACCACAGGCTGGATTTGAGCTTGGCTCTCAAACAGTCCACCACAAGCCTATTTCATGCTAACACATCGGATTGGACTCTAATCAGCAGAATTTACAGAGCTAGGGGCCAAATGGGTCCATCAAGTGTCAACCCCAATCTGTGCACCTGACCAAAGGAGCTATATTAGCATGATTCAGCATCTCCTATATTTGTAAATTTAAAAGCCTGGCTTTTTGTGTGTTCCATCAGGTTCCTTTTTTTAACTGGATAACAATAGTTTTTGAATATTGAGTGACCTTGTAATATATCTTGCTCGGATGGAATTGATTGTGCTGTCATTTTATCATTATGATTTTCTATTTCTTCTTATTGATACCAGAAGAACCCTTAAATGGTGGTTGAACTGATCCAGATGCATTTTAATATTCTGCCAAAGACTGAGTCATTTCAGTTTCTTAAAATTTTCTTCCAACTTTACTTTTGGCTAATTTATTATTGTATTTCTTGTCTTGTTCTGTATATTTTTCAATTGAGCTGTGTATCCACGTCTCTCCCTCCATAGCTATTCCCTTTCTGTGCAGAGTTGTATTATAGCTTTGAGTTTATATCTTGTGTAATTTTTGACGGAGATACTTTTCTGTCTAACCATAATTTCCTCTATTTTACAGAAATAATGGATTTTGGCTGAGTTTATTTTCATACCTTATTTAATTATTTCTATAGGTGAATGCAAACTGGAGAATTTGAGGACTCTCTGTGTGGCTTGCCATTATGATGTTACTGCAGCACAATGTGCTGAACGGCGCATAGCAAGAGCAAAGGCCAGGAAACAACTAAAAGCGTTAATGAATAGCATGAAAAATGATATTAAGAGTGCTGCTAGCTCTAAAATTAAGGTATGTTGCAAGCCTAATTCCCTCTTTGGCTGATGCATAGATATGTATTCCCGGTGGTAGTATGTATGCCAGTCAGTCTGAGATGTATTAATGCCGGTATTTGTATGACAACTTATCTCAGGTGTTCATTTCCATTTAGGTAAGGATAAGACTTACTTTTTTGGATTTTAACAACAGGTGTGTCAACTGCAGCTTTAAGTTGAACATAACCTTATCAATATTATGGTGAAAACCTGTACCAACTGTAACAGGTGAATTTTCCAATTATCAAGATTGCTAATTTTCCATCTCTTTTGGCATGCATGTGCATGGGCAAAAGGTGTTGCAAATCAGCCAATACTAGTTGAATTTCGAATGATGAATGGATCTCTTTTCTTTCATCGTAAAAGTGAGAAAAACAATTGTCTGTCTGACATGAAATTCTAAAGAAACAGTATTATTCCTGAGAGTATTAATTAAACCCAATGGACTGTATGATAGTAGCCATTCAAATCTTTAGGGTGCATTTGGTTTGTAGAAATATTTTGTTTAATATAAAAATGCAAAATTATTTAAAGATTTGTATAAAAAAAATGGTGCATTTGGCAAAGTAAAAACAAGGTACCATTTTTATAATTATTTGTGAAAACAAAAAATGTTTTCATAGATCAAAGGAGCCCTTAGTTGGCCAGTATAGGTTCAGCCGGAAATTTCTATGCTGGGATTTAAGTGGTTTGTTGCTTTTCATTTAGGTGCAGTGTGTCGGTTGGAATTGTCAATCAGTAAGACAAGTCTGCGTGCATTAAATAATTATACTTGTTGGCCTGATATTCAATTCTTAATATTTGATATATGTGAAGATAATAAACTTCAGATTAGTTATTTTGATGTGTTCTAATATTGGTTACTCACTCAGCTATTCTGTATTGAGTTTGTTTCCCAGGATTCTTCTGTATTGGTACCATGCTTGTTATGTTCCATTTTCTTGTTGGCTGCATTCGGCATTAACTTCCAAAATATTTCTTTACATCCTTTACAGTCAAGGATATTACTATACTAAATAGCACCTGATAGTAATTTCCTAGGTTGCTTTGGTTATATTTACACACGCAAGTAAAACCATTAACAAGATAACCCTTGATATTAGAGATCCAAAGTTGATGAGTTATGAGTTTTATTCACATAACTTCATGAATCAAATTCAGGACTGTAGGCGTCTCGAGGACAAAGAAGGGAATATGCCTGAGGATGAGCTTTTAGTCGAGGTTCCTGGCAGTGCCTATTCTTTAGCAGACAGCTAAGCAAGTGGAGATGCAGCTAGGAAGGGATTATGAACAGTTTTTGTAAGAAGAAAAGTAAAATTTTGCAGCCACAGTGGTGGCAACCACATCAGTGCTCCGGAAGAGGTCGACCATGGTAAGGAAGGAGAACTTGCATCGTAGTGTCCAGTCTTTGGCTGCACACCCTACCAATTATGTTCTTCGTAGAAATTCTTTTGAACAGAGATTTTTGTGGTGTCTTGTCCAGTTGAAAAGCAAGCAGCAGTCAACATGTATACTTTTTCTTCTCAAGTATAAGATAATTTTGGCAGTGTAGTGACACAGTTTGGATCCATCCATTTGTAACCTCCACGCTCCACCCATCATTGATTATTGATTGGCATTGTATTCCAACCAATTATTTTCGAGCCATTGTTTTGTAAATAATGTAAGCAATGGTTGTTGAATTTAACTACAAGACTCTTTTGTCATGGTTCTTGTTTAGAGGAATATTGCCCTGCATGGTTTGAGATAATGATTTTTCTACTAGTATAATTAATCATAATGATATTATTATTAACTTAATTTTATTTTCAAAGAAATGAAAAATAAAAAATAACTATAAAATGTCATTCTAGTCTTACTTTATTCCCATTTTTAGATGTTTGTGCCACATCATTTCCTGTATAATTTTTTAAAAACAAAAAATTGAAAAAAATGTGACTTGTAAAAATAGATTGAGAAAAAAAATCATTATTCTATAGGTATTTGAAAATAAGAAATACAGTAAAATAAGGTGATATATGGAGTTAAGAAATACAAAAGAACGAGAATAAGAAAATAAACTGTGCAAAACATCACCTTTGAATAATTGAATTATATAGTTTAAAATATGTATATTTTCTAACATCTCACCCCACAAGATGTGTCAAGTTTACCACCAAACATGTACGCAGGACTAGTTTAATTAATAGTTGAGTTTAAATTTTGGATATCCAATCAAATTTGAATGATAATTTTGAATTTATAATTGTATTTGAAAATATTTCTATTTTTAATTAATGGATTTTTTCTCGTTTGAAAAGATTAAAAAACATGACAGTAGTCGTGTCCCAAAAAGAGAGGGCAACAACATAAACTTCCGATTCCGACCTGCTCCCACCCAATATGAGATAATACAAGTGTGACTATCTTTGACCTTATTCATGAAAATGTTTGTGTGTAACGCTGCTCTCATAAAAAAATAGCATCCTATATCTCTAAAACAAAAGGTGGGTCCACTGCTTGCAATGCAACAATACTAATACTACCATATCCCATTCGGCCGTGGGACAGTAACAAGTGTCCACACCAGGTAGCAAAATACTCCTACCAATTTTAAAAATATTCTCCCAAAATCAGAACTCACAAAAGTTGTCCCACTTTAGTTCTTAAAAAGTTCCAAAAACTGTGTAAAACATTTTTATCTTCCCAAACATGATACTCTGCACAATGAAGATGTATATTACAAAATTTGAGTAACTTTAAAAACAAAATTTACAAGGACATGATAATCCTTTTCAATAAGAGTAACATATTAATCATGAAAGACTCTCCATTTAATACCACTTTCCTTCACGGCACCCTAAAAATGAATAAAAAAAGGGAACATCTTCTGTTATCCTTGCCCTGAAAGCCTAACAGCAGAGAGATAGACATCACTGTTAGTTGATGGCTTAGGAACAGAACATAGACCCTCTAGCATTTGGAAAACTTTGTTCATGGAAGGCCTCAGACAACACAATTTAGCTGCTGCCCATATGATCATATTTTGTGGCACATGTTGCAGAGTTCACAATCTGTCGTGTACTTCAAAACATGAAAGGATTTAAATTTATCTAGCCCTATTCTACATTTTAACATTTTATTCTTATTAGAGGTGAGTAGGTAGAACCTTGATGTCTTCACTGTTGCTTAATGATGCTATGTGTAAGGCCAAGACTTCATACTAAATTGAATATGACATTATGATGTAAATGAATAACATTTTTACAAAATAGCTTTATGTAGAGATGGACCATTGTTCAATAACTAATCATGATAATTGCTTACTCTTTTTTCCTGGTAAAAACAATCCATCTAGCATCCTCCCTTTTTACTTTTTAATTTTTCAAAAGCCATGACAAAATTGAGTGCTGACCAAAGCTATTCTCAAAAGAGTAGCAATATCCTAATTTCCATAATCTTCTTGTCATTCTCTAGTTCAATTCCCTTTTTTATTTCCTTGCTATATATTGAATGGTGAATCCAGTATTAATTGAACCATACATCATACCCAAATTATTCGTACATTCAACATAAAACTTGAAGGCATAATGTATAAATCAAGAAGGGACAGCAACCTGTTTAAGCATAGAAAACACAATCATGTATGCATTTCATATCATTGATTCATAGTTCATTACATATACCAGAAAAATTGTGTTTTCCACCGAGTGTGAAATTGAAAAAGAAACAAAACAAAACAAAACTCTTATTAGTTATTCATTGAAAACCAAAATTAGTTCCTTTATGGAACAATGTCTTTTGGATCAAATATAGATTGTTGTTGTGGTGGTGGTGGTGGTGGAGGTGAATGAAGAACAGCCTCATCACAATACCCCTCCAACACATCAGTCTCTTCATTGGTGAATCCTAGAGAGTCCACAATGTTGGGCCAACAATCATGTCCAATCACCCTAATTGCATGGCAGCAACTGTGTCCAAGGTAAGTCTCACCATTCAGAAAAAATGTAACAATTTCTCCACTGCATGCTTGTAGTTGCCAAAGTGAATCCCAACAATTGGAGGGTTCACCCTCCAGCTTCAACCTAACTGCAAGGCTTGAAGAGGGGTCAGAGAGTGATCTGGACTGAACCAAAGATGCTGATGAGAGTGAAACCAATGCAGTAATAGCCACCAAAGAAGAAAGAAAGAAAAGATTATGAGTGAAAGCCATTTTTGTCTCAGAAGAAAAAATGAGTGTGTGCATGTGTTGTGGTGAAAGCATGGTTGGGATTTATATAGAATATAGTAGGGTGAGAGTGTTTGGTAACAATTAATGTAAGGAGAGATGAAGCGTGTGAAAACCAGTGAGTTACATAAGGGAAGGTTGGTTCATCTTCTGTGTATTGATTGAGATCAAGATTTTATGGCATTTAAATGTTAACTGGTTCAGCAAGTGTCTCTGTGTCTCCTTTATAACATCCTCAATGATACAATTATTAAGCAATTCACATTATATATTTTTATTTAATTTTGCTTTATCATTGAAATATTAACTTTTAAGTAAAAACTATTCATTATTATTTTTTAGTTACGAGTAACCCACCTTACCCGCAAGTTCAACTACAATGGAAAAAAAAGTTTCCTTTATTTAAAGAACCCAGTTAAACAATTTCCGAGAAATTACTCATAACATGAATATTTGTTAACGATGGATCAATTCATATTTGTCAATTAGGTTCTTAAGCCGTTATGAATGATTAAAATAAACAATAGAATAATACATTTATGAAATAAACAGTTTGTGTATTATATTGGACCGGATCCTGTCTGGCAGAAAGTTCTTCCCATCATTTCTATCTCTTCAGGATATTTATTTGTTCTATATTATTAAATTTATAATAAAAATATTTTTATTATAATTAAAATTTGTAACAAATAAATAAATTTTAAACATATAAATTATACTTTAAATTTATAATAAATAATTTATATTGTGATAAAAAATATTTTTAATTATTTATAACCTTTTAAAATACTAAAATAAATATGAAAATAGTATATTTAAAGAGTTAAGAATTTAAAAATATCAAAATAAATATAAAAATGATGTAAACGGATAATATTTGAAACCTGAAGATAAAATATATATTTTATGCTAATATTTAGTGACCATTTATTAAATAATAAATTGTTGATTTGATATAAAAAATATAAGAGACACTCATATGTTTGAAGAGCAAAGTTCATCTCTTCATCGAAGGAAAATATTCAAATCATAATAAGTGGGAGAAAAAGCGAAGAGAGTGAAGTATTTACAAATCATAGAGAATTATTGTTTATATAGAGATAGTGATTAGACATATGGTTGTATAAGAGTTAGTGAAGCATTATTAATTTTGTTGTTTATATAAAAGGTTTGATGTAATTTTTTGTAGACAGGTTTTCTAAAGTGGTAATTCAACATTTCAGCACTACATCATATAATAAACCAACCGCAAAAACCGTATCATGTCTTTTCTTTTCTATTTTCCCCCCTTATCCAAAGTAAAATTTAACAAGGGTAATATATGATATATCGATCGATAAAAGTTCATACAAAATAGGAAATCAGAAAAGAATAAGCACCTATATATGTCAAAGCTATTGGTCAATCTGATTCTGAAGAATTAATACATACCATCTTACCATCAATCAACATAGCAATAGTGTCCTAGCAAAAAGGAAACCTCAAACACTTCATGGCACACTCCTAACTAGACTTCACTTATCAATTTGTGCCCCTCTTCAATTCATACTTGTCATACAACACAAGAAGAGACAAGCTAAGAAGAACACCAATGTAGATCGAAGTCAAGAAGTTGAACAAACTACCAATGTAATTATAGAATCCTTAAAGGCTAAATAGGATTTTAGAATCTGGGGCGTTGGTAAATTTCTTTTTAATTAATAAAACTCTAGAGAGAAATTAAAGCTTTGAGAACAAGGATATCATTTCTTATTTTGATACTTCTAGGGCTTCAAGACCCTCTCCTGAAATTGAGATTAAGCTTTGGTAGTTGATGAAGAGTCCATAGAGCACAGATTTGAAAAGAGAAGTCAACACTTGGGTTTTTTTATTTATTTAAAAAGTTAATCCCTTTTCTTTTGAATGTGACCATTTATTAAATAATAAATTGTTGATTTGATATAAAAAATATAAGAGACACTCATATGTTTGAAGAGCAAAGTTCATCTCTTCATCGAAGGAAAATATTCAAATCATAATAAGTGGGAGAAAAAGCGAAGAGAGTGAAGTATTTACAAATCATAGAGAATTATTGTTTATATAGAGATAGTGATTAGACATATGGTTGTATAAGAGTTAGTGAAGCATTATTAATTTTGTTGTTTATATAAAAGGTTTGATGTAATTTTTTGTAGACAGGTTTTCTAAAGTGGTAATTCAACATTTCAGCACTACATCATATAATAAACCAACCGCAAAAACCGTATCATGTCTTTTCTTTTCTATTTTCCCCCCTTATCCAAAGTAAAATTTAACAAGGGTAATATATGATATATCGATCGATAAAAGTTCATACAAAATAGGAAATCAGAAAAGAATAAGCACCTATATATGTCAAAGCTATTGGTCAATCTGATTCTGAAGAATTAATACATACCATCTTACCATCAATCAACATAGCAATAGTGTCCTAGCAAAAAGGAAACCTCAAACACTTCATGGCACACTCCTAACTAGACTTCACTTATCAATTTGTGCCCCTCTTCAATTCATACTTGTCATACAACACAAGAAGAGACAAGCTAAGAAGAACACCAATGTAGATCGAAGTCAAGAAGTTGAACAAACTACCAATGTAATTATAGAATCCTTAAAGGCTAAATAGGATTTTAGAATCTGGGGCGTTGGTAAATTTCTTTTTAATTAATAAAACTCTAGAGAGAAATTAAAGCTTTGAGAACAAGGATATCATTTCTTATTTTGATACTTCTAGGGCTTCAAGACCCTCTCCTGAAATTGAGATTAAGCTTTGGTAGTTGATGAAGAGTCCATAGAGCACAGATTTGAAAAGAGAAGTCAACACTTGGGTTTTTTTATTTATTTAAAAAGTTAATCCCTTTTCTTTTGAATTTAGCTTATAGAAGGTCATTGAAGTAAAAAAAAAAAAAAACTTATTTATTTATTGTTTGAAGTAGAATTCAATGTTGAAAGTTGCGTTGGAGAGCTAATTTGGACTCAATATTGAGATTCCCTAAGATTTATTTATGTTGTGGTTGAGTTTTAGATCTTGTTGAGGAAAAATAATTAATGAGTTTTGTGGTTGCATGCATGATCAGGATCACATATACAGTGATATCCTAGATATTTTTTTCTCTCTTGTCATGTCTATTAATATGAAATAAACAAAACTAGTATTTTGATTTAATTATGATATATTAAAAAATAGTTGTTAAATAAAATAAATAAATAACAATCTAGTTTTAATTAAAATTATATATATATATATATATATATATATATTCTTAGTAAAAAATTAAAGAGTAATTTAGCTCATGTTGTTGATAGAGTTAATAGCAAGCTAGCTGACTGGAAAGATGACTCTAGTCAAATCTATGTTAAGTTCTATCCTACCTGCTTCATGTTGAACCCTTGGTTATAACGATCAAGTATGGTCGGATATAGTTCAAATTATATAATCCACAATTTGTATTATTTAGATTTGAACTCGACAAAATAACTTATCAGTTTAGATGGGTTTTGATTTGAATGGGTCTCAATTTTGTCAAATGATTTTCTATGGATAAAGATGTATTAGATTTTGAATTATTTAATTGGTTCAAATATTTTTTTTCCTAATTTATTATCTTTTTCTTTTCACTTCTTGTATTCTTTTTTTATACATCAAACTATTCAAATATTATTTAGTTCATTTAAAATCAAAATAAATAAAATTATTTAAGTTTCACATAATTTAAATATTATAATAATTTTCTTTAGGTATATAATATAATAAAGGAAATTACAAACTATACTCTCAATTAAAAATTTTTGTGCATTAACTATAAAAATTAAATATGAACCAAAATAAATTTAGTTTTTGAATCTAAATAATAATTACTTTGACCTTTATTTTGTTTGAATGGATTAAGTCCAGATATCAATGAGTACAAAGACTCAAATCAAACCCGATTAAAATTAATCATTTTAAATCATATTTTTAATTCACCTAAATCGATAATCTATTTAAATTCACCCATCACCCTTACTAAAAACATGTGTGAGGCAATCGACAAAGCCTCAAGGTCCTTAATTTGGGGGTTCCTCCCATAATCAGTGGGTGAAAGGCCTTGACCTTAGAACAACTTGTGACATGAATGTGGCATTGGGAAAGCACATGTGGACTAAAGGAACCCACAAAGCTTTTGCTTACTTTTATTATAATTTAAAATATAAGTAAACGTTTTTAATTAATTTATTTACTTCCCTGTTTGTAACATTTTAAAATTAGTTACTATTCATAAATTCTTTATTAGTTGTGTCTGTGCATGTTTCAAACTGGTATTTGGAGGTGCAGTTTGTTTGTTACTATTGAGATTTAGTTTTTGTTTTATCATTATTTATATTCTTTCATCTAATCAGAATGTGATTTTGTGCATGTTGAGATTGTTACTTTTTTTGCAACATTGTACAGGTTGCATAAGCTCTATATTTCAACTTCATGGATCAATAACTACACACAATACACAATATACATCTTAAAAGTGAAAGTTATATCTCTCTCAATTTTTTTTAATATTATTAAACATTTTTTGAATGATGCTCTTTCATCTAGGAATCTTTTGCTACACATGAATTGCTTAACGAGCGAGGAATCTATAAAATTCAAACTATTAATATAATGTAATTTTTTTCTCTAGTATAACGTTTTGTGTGCTTCAATTTAGGTTATTCTAATTTTATAGTAAGAGTGAGTGTTTTTTCTTTAAGGATAACGATTTGTATGTTTTAACTTGGATAATTTTATTATTGCTTTGTTTTTTTAATTTAAAATATTCATTGTATCGTTGATATTAATCTTCTTAAATTTTTTTTTATTCATTTGTGTTCTTAATTTTTCCAAAAATCTTGAAAAGAAAAATATTTTCTTATTCAATATTAACATATATGCAACAATATTTTAAAGTTTTTGAGTAGTAAGGCGAAAAAATTTAAAGGTAAAAATTGTTTATATTAACAACAAAAAATGAAAATTTTCTGATATAAAAAATTTTTACCACTAAATTTTTCTGATTTACTACTTAAAACTTTAAAATATCTATTGTAAACAGGTTGATTTTGGAAGAGAAAAAAAAATAACAAGAGCACAAATAAATATCAATTATATTTATCAAGAAAATT